GGTATAAATAATATTGGTGCACTTGTGAAAGAATATTAGACTCGCCAGTTGACGTGTATTGGACGCTTAGCATGATTTGTTTACTTTTGAACTTTGGTAAAAATCGAACATTTCTGCTACTTTGAGCTCAATTTCAAGGTACTTTTCATTGTAAAACCAGTCAAAATCATCTCAATTTCTGTAATATGTCTTCCATTCTATAAAATAAGACCAGGAAAACTTGAATACAACAATAAATACTATATGAAAATACAGTGCAAAGTCGCTGTTTTAATCCAAAAACACGGTCAAAGTTTTTTTTTTTTCTCATTACCACTTTGTGCTGCAGGATTTTTTTTATACTGCGCACACTGACCACATAGGCCCATTCTTTCATATGTAGGCCTACCAGCTTTCTCTCACTAGATTTGAGGGCGCTAGAATTTAGGCGTACTAGTATGTCAAAAACCCTGGTGTGTAAGCCGTACTAGTACGGCCGAAACCCTGAAAGGGTTAAGGTTCCCCCCCTTCCCCACCCACCCTCCTTAAACCTGGTTGACTGGGACTTTGGCAAGAGAAGAGTTTTGCTCTATAGTTGTGTGAGAGATACCAATAAACGTACATACACAGGTTTATAGATTGTCTGCTGTATAGAACAATGTCTTTTTAACATATTTGCTTGCATTTCCTCTTCTATTTTTGTTTATCTTTTTCACCATATTGTAAGTACTAGGGTTTTTGAGACTGCCTTTGATCCTGTGACATGAAGTCTTCAACATATTTTTAAAAAATATTTCCTGTTGACTACAGTACCTGCATTAGTTGTTTGAGGGGGTTGAGTTCCAGCCTCTGGACCTGTTTTAGTACTAACCTACCTACAAAGGGAATTCACCACCAACTTTTGGGCATTCCACTTAAGGTAGTTTTTTGAGTTGCAATTTCTGGATCTGCTACTAACTTTGACCTTGAGGGAAGGTTTGAGCTTCAACTTTTGGGGCTGCTGCTTAACCAGCTATATTTGAATGATATCACCTAGTATTGATGTACAGTACCTAAGTGAATTTGAGAGAATTGAGCTTTAGTTTCTGGGTTTGCTACTCAGCTGGAGCTACTAGCTCCAGGGCCTGGTACTCATCTAGGCTCCAGCTCCTGCTACTCGCCAAGCTGTTTCAGATGTGATTGAACTTAACTGACTACATTTTTTACTTTCTACTTCCACACACCTACATCTCTCTCTACATCCCCACTACAGCTCACTACCACAGTCCTACAACTCACTACCACATCCCTACAACTCTCTACCACATCCCTACAACTCATTTTGTCTCTTTGCAACTCAGTCCCACACTCCCACTCCCTTACCTCTTTGGTCCCTCACCAACTCTCATTCTCCTTTAGCTCTCACACACTTCCATGTCATACACAATCTTCTAAAACTTGCTCCCAACAGGGACATCACACTTGCACTCCTCGACATACACTCACCTCTTCACCTTGGAAAATTAGAAAGCAGAAGTTAAGTCAAGGGAAAAAATAATCATACGAGGAGACCAAAATATTTCTAACATAGATAAATTTGCTTGAGTACTGACTAAACCATTTGTTGATGTATGCTGAAGTATCATTTATGTTACTTGTATTAAATGCTATCATTGAAGACTCCAGTAGTTTTCAGTGATAATTGGTAAATGTTAAGCCACATGCTGGAGTCAGTTTCAACAGCAGAAGCATGGTGGCCACCTCAAATTACTTGGAATGTGCAGTACCCTCTAATAAAAAGGAGAGAGAGAGAGAGAGAGAGAGAATGAGAGAGAAGAGAGAGAGAGAGAGAGAGAGAGAGAGAATGAGAGAGAGAGAGAATGAGAGAGAGAGAGAGAGAGAGAGAGAGAGAGAGAGAGAGAGAATGAGAGAGAGAGAGAATGAGAGCATAATTTATAATTGGAAATACTCAAAGGCTAGGCACCCATTCTGCATATTAGCACAACAATGCATCATAGCAAGAGATATGGTAGGAAATGCAGAACTAGTCCAATAAAACATAGGAGTACCATAAGCACAATAAGAGAGCACTGTGTCAGTGTCAGAGGTTCATGACTCTTCAACATGATACTGTACTATCAGATACAAGTATGGCTGGCATAGCTGCAGATATTTTCAAGTGAAAACTAGACAGGTTTCTTCAGGAGGTGCCACATCAGCTGGGCTGCAGTGGCTATATAGGTCTGCAAGTTGCAGGTATATTAGTAATAGCCAGGCTTATAAGGCAGTCACTAGGGAAGTCTGGGCACAAACCAGGCTACTAGAGTAAAAGTTCCGAAAGCAGTCATAGGTATGTTACAAGTACAGTATGTTGTAGTTTAATGGTCATCACTGCATAAGCAATATTGAGGCGTACATCCTGATGTCCACCCTACTAAACTAGTGACCAGCTTTGCATGGTAAGGTGATCTGACTGCCTAAGACAGATGGCTGAAGGCTGATGGCCTTCAGCCATCTTGCAGTTACCAAATTACATCCAGATTTGCAAAAATTTTGAGGGAAATGGTTAAAAATGCCACAAGTTTTTGGTTATAATAAAGGCAGTTAAAATGCATTTGATTGTACTGTATATAAAATTAAGCTGTTATTCTAAGTCTTTCTTTTCATTTTGTTTGCATTTTTAAGGTACTACATTCTGCAAAATAATATATGGCTGTGAGGGGAATCTTCCATATCTTATAAAAACTGACTTATGTACAATACCTTGCTAACCAAATTCTTAATCCATAATTTTTTTTTTTTAACATGTCGGCCATCTCCCAATAAGGCAGGGTGGCCTGAAAAAGAAAAACTTTCATCATCATTCACTCCTTCACTGTCTTGCAAGAGGCACACTTACACTACAGTTATAAAACTGCAACATTAACACCCCTCCTTCAGAGTGCAGACACTGTACTTCCCATCTCCAGGACTAAGTCCAGCCCGCTGGTTTCCTTGAATCCCTTCATAAATGTTACCTTGCTCACACTCCAATGGCACATCGTCATAAAAATCATTTGTCTCCATTCACTCCTATCAAACATGCTCACACATGCTGGAAGTCCAAGACCCTTGCACACAAAACCTTCTTTACCCCCTCCCTCCAACCTTTCCTAGGCTGACCTCTACCCCACCTTCCCTCCACTACAGATTTATACACACTCAAGGTCATTCTATTTTGTTCTAACATCTCTACATGTTTGAACCACCTCAACAACCCCTCCTCAGCCCTTTCGATAATAGTTTTGGTAATCCCACACCTCCAAATTTCCAAACTATGAAGTCTCTTCATTATCTTCACACCACACACTGCCCTCAGACATGACATCTCTACTGCCTCCAGCCTTCTTGTTGCGACATTCACCACCCATGCTTCACACCCATATAAGAGCGTTAGTATAACTATACTCTCATACATTCCCCTCTTTGCTTCCATGGACAAAGTTCTTTATCTCCACTGACTCCTAAGTGCACCACTCACCTTTTTTCCCTCATCAGTTCTGTGATTCACCTCATCCTTCATAGACCCATTTGTTGACATGCCCACTCCTAAATATCTGAATACATTCACCTCCTCCATACTCTCTCCCTCCAATCTGATATCCAATCTTTAGTCACCTATTTATTTTGTTATCCTCATCACCTTACTCTTTCCTATATTCACTTTTAATTTTCTTCTTTTACATCCCCTACCAAATTCATCTATCAGCCTCTGCAACTTCTCTTCAGAATCTCCCAAAAGCACAGTGTCATCAGCAAAGAGCAACTGATAACTCCCACTTTGTGTTTGATTCTTTATCGTTTAGCCCCACACCTCTTGCCAACACCCAAGCATTCACTTCTCTTACATCCCCATCTATAAATATATTGAACAACCATGGTGACTTCACACATCCTTGTCTGAAACCTAATTTTACTGGGAAATAATCTCCCTCTCTACTACATACTCTAATCTGAGCCTCACTATCCTTATAAAAACCTCACTGCTTTCAGTAACCTACCTCCTATTCCATATATTTGCAACATCTGCCACATTGCCCCTCTATCCACCCTGTCATACACCTTTTCCAAATCTATAAATGCCACAAAAACCTCTTTACCCTTATCTAAATACTGTTCACCTGTATGTTTCACTGTAAACACTTGGTCTACACAACCCCTACCTTTCCTAAAGCCTCCTTGTTCATCTGCTATCCTACTCTCCATTTTACTCTTAATTCTTTCAGTAATAACTCTGCCATACACTTTACTAGGTATACTCAACAGACTTATTCCCCTATAATTTTTGTACTCTTGTCCCCTTTGCCTTTTACAATGGAACTGTACATGCTTTCTGCCAATCCCTAGGTACCTTACCCTCTTCCATACACTTAATAAATTTACCATTTGTAATATTGTTATATGTTTATACTACCTTACTATTATAAATCTAATTATGTATGTATCTAATAATGTATGTTCAAATGTACTGCTCCATAACCCATACCAATATAGAGTAAGAATTAGCATTAGTCTGCCCGAAATGCCTAGGCATGTTAGTGGCCTTCTTTGTAAGTAATACTTATAAGCTGTAAACAACACATTGTAAGCTTTACAAGGAAATAAACATTGTTATTGTCAAAAGCAGCAACCACTCCAGAACTATATCCCTACCTGCTTTTAACATTTCTATCTTTATCCCATCAATCCCAGCTTCCTTACCACCTTTCATTCTACCCAGTGCCCCATGAACTTCCCCCACACTCACAACTGGCTCTTCCTCACTCGTACAAGATCTATAAATAAGGGACTGAAAAAACATATGATGATTACTGTGAGGGTGAACAGTGAAGGGCCTATTTAATGTTTTAAGAGTGTATTCATCCATGTACATCATCAGCTTTTTTGTTTCTTAAGAGAGATGGCAAATGACAGCATGTCAGATAAGAATACGACACTTTTATATTACGAAATATTTGTCAACAGTACAAGCTATTCACACTCGTTGCAATCATGTTCTATAGGTGAATGCCATGTTGGTTGCCTCCGGTCAGTTAAAGCTCTCTGAGCTTCACAAGAGCCGGACAAAGAACAACAAATCAAATGACCTCTTCATTGAAGAAGTGATCATTAATGAAGCTCCCATGAGTGCCAGGAACTTCCTCACACGGTCATCTACTCAAGAGGAAATTAGCAAGGTATGTTAGATCTTTATTTTGAGCTTTATATAGAAAGCTGCTTATTATATGATGTACAAGTTTTCACCTAACTATTCACTATTTTGTAAATGTTGAGTTCATGGGTTCATTGAAATATAATAAATATGTTTATACTCTTAGAGTTTTTATTTTATCCTTTCAGTGTCATAAATATTAATTTTAGAGCAAATGATGCTTTGTAATGACTAATGGGTTTTTTAACCTTTTAATAATTTCTATTTTTTTTTTCAACGAACCAGCTGTATCCCACCGAAGCAGGGTGACCTAAAAAGAAAAACGAAAGTTTTTCTTTTTAGGCCACTGAAAGTTTTTCCTTTTTAAATTTGGTAATGTATATAGGAGAAGGGCTTACTAGCCCCTTGCTCCTGGCATTTTAGTCACCTCTTACGACACACATGGCATACGGAGGAAGAATTCTTTTCTGCTTCCCCACGGAATTTCTAAATATGTAAAAGTAATACACATATCATTATAGTCTCTTTTCTAAACCAGGGAATTACCATCACTAATATTTAGAAAACAAAAATGTTTTACAGAATATTTTTAGCACAAAGAATGAAAAGAGGATATGGTATACCACCACTTTTCACACTTCGTTTCCACCCGTTTGTGATTTTTTTTTTTTTTTAAAGTATCCATTACCACCTTTTGCTGTGAAGGTTCAACACCTTTTGTGGCAGCTCTGCCTGCTTCCATCTTGTGCTCCAAAATGGCCAGCCACTGTGATGGCACAGGTGAACTGGTTTCCCTCCCAGTCACCTTGGTCTTCTTTTGTTTCATGGTAAACCTAACTTTCTTTACACCCACCTCCATTGCCTACCACCCATGCCCCTACCAGTTGCCTCATGAACATGTGCCATACAGTTACTCTCTCTTGTTAGAAATATTTTTTTTATCATTTTATTGCCCTGTTTTGTATCTGGATATTAATCATGTCATCAGAATGCAAACCTAGTGTAGGTGAAGGTGCCAAGAAGTAACCTCATGTGAAGAAAATAACAGTAATGGATGTGCTTAAAGGTGATACACTTGTGGTTGATGCAGCCAAGACTTTTTGGGTGAGGGAATCTACAATTCAGTCAATTCAAGACAGTGAGAAGATAAGAGCTTGTGTGATGTGTAACCCAAATTGTGACTTATTGAAAAAATGGGAGGTTTCTCGGTGCTGGAAGAGGTTCTTGATCCAAGGAATTGAACTTATCCTCCCCTTGAATCACCTGATTGCTTCTCTTTCCTTAGGTGCTGTCTGATATAAATATAATAGCCAAAGCATAGATGCTAAGCATTGAGAGTTAATTTTGCATATAAAAAATAATCTGAGTAATGCATGATGTTATGGAATAATGGAACTGTCTGGCAGCTGCTTATTAAGTCTAATGTGTGCATTCTGAGGTTAAAAGCTTGGCTGACGTGTGTTGATGATCTAAGAAAGTTGTATCTATATTAATTTTCCTTTCATCAGTGAGACAGGGAAGAAGTGAGAATTCAGCTGCATTATTGATCATAAATATACACTGCATTTTTTCTATCTGAAGATGAATGCAGTAAAATATTTGAGAGTATATTATCTTGTAATACTATGCAGATGTCTGGGGCAGCTGTGTCTACACGAGGACGGTACATGAATCAGGAAGAGCTCAAGAACCCCAGTAAAAGTCCTGGTGACCGTCCATTGTATCTACACATCCAGGCTGTTAACCAACAGGATGTAAAAGGTATACTAGTCATTATGTAACTCTTTTTCCCTTCTGATAGAGTGAGAACTTTCAGAGTTGGCATTTTTTTTTTACTGTTTTTTTTTATTCTTAAATTTTTGGGCAACCACTTAAATGTACGTGTTCCATGTCTGTGTGTTGCAGTAAAGAATGTAGGATCTTTCAGAACTAATCCACAATTTAGAGAGGAAATTTTAGATTTTTGTGACTTGATAATGTCCAGAACTGAATGAAATATCTCAAGTTTCTTCTCCAGATTGTAGGTTAATTGTGTGTTGTACTGGCCATATTATTCTTAATGAAGGGCAATGACTCAAATGGCTGTAGCATTGAGTCTTTCTCAAGGATCTTTTAATTTTTTTTGAGTTATTGACATATACCTTTGATGAGTTTTGAGAGTCTTTCTACTCCTGGCCATGGGTCAGGCTCATCTGGTGCTAGCCTGGTCAACCAAGCTGTTGCTGTAAAGTAAAAGGACACAAGTGCAACTAATGTGACATTTTATTGTGGCAACGTTTCGCTCTCCAGGAGCTTTGTCAAGCCGATACAAGCAGTATATGGACAAAGAGGGTATATAAAGGCTCAGAGTGAGGTGCAATACTAGTGAGGTACCATTTCGATGTTCACTAGTGGTAGTAGTAGTAGTAGTGACAATATAGTAGAGCAATTAATTTGTACATTAGTACAAATTAATATGGTAGAGCAATTAATTCGTACATGAGTACGAATTAATTGCTCTACCATATTGTCACTACTACTACTACTACCACCACTAGTGAACATCGAAATGGTACCTCACTAGTATTGCACGTTGCCACAATAAAATGTCACATTAGTTGCACTTGTGTCCTTTTACTTTACATATTGTCGGTAATTCTGCCAACATTATTACAAGCTGTTGCTGCTGGAGGCCTGCTGCCCTACATATCTATAACAGCCTGGTTGATCTAGCACCTGGTGAAGATAGTTGTCCAGTTTCCTCTTGAAGACTTCTACACTTGTTCCTGCATTGTTTCTGATGCCTTCTAGTAAGATGTTGAATAATTCTGAGGCCACGAATGTTGATACTATTTTCCCTTATTGTGCCTGCCGCACTCCTGCTCTTCATTGGGTTTATTTTGCACTTCCTTTTATATCTCTCACTCCAGTATGTTGTTATGGCAGTGTTCATATTTGGGACCAGGCTCTCAAGTACTTTCTAGGTATATATTATCATGTATCTCTCCTCCATTCTGGCAAGTACATATGTATTTAATATTAAGGCATTCCCAGTAATTAAAGTGCTTTACTGGCTCTACTGTATTTGTTCCAGCTCTGATATTTCTCCAGCCCTGAAAGGGGCCATCAACACCGAACAATATTCCAAATGAGGGAGCACTAGCGATTTGAAAAGTGTCACCATTGGCACTATTTCCCTCGTTTTGAAAGTTCTCATTACCCACCCCATCATCCTTCTGGCTGTCATGATCTTTGTCTTATTGTTTTCTTTGAAAGAAAGGTCAGCAGACATAGTTACTCCCTAGTCTTTTACATGTTCCTTTTGTTCTATATGGTGATTCTCTTAGAGTTTTGTATACAATGTTCCTTTTAAGTTCTTCATTCTTTCCATACCTAAGCATTTGGAACTTCTCACCACTGAATATCGTGCTGTTTTCCACTTCCCACTGGAAAACGCTGCTTATATCTTCCTTTAGTTTTTCAGTGTCTTCTACCAAAGTCAATTTCTTGTTTATTTTAGTGTCATCTGCAAATGATGATACAAAACTGTGATGGGTATTTGTATCTATGTCTGCTATGAGGATGAGGAACAGCAGAGGTACCAGGACAGTGCCTTGGGAAACTGAGCTTTTTACTCCGCTGATGCTGGATTTTACTCAGTAGTTTCTCTGTATTTGTACTTGAATTTTGGAATACAAGAAGTACATTGTCTACACCTTAGAAAGGAAGTGTGCTTGTGGCAGTTTTCTGGGTCAGTATTGATCCTGGTGACTTTCTCAGGAAAGAGAGCTAAAACAACTGTTTTTTTTTTTTTTTTACCCTTCTTTGGTAGAAGTAACTGATGCATTACCATAAACATTTCTAAAATTAAAGCTAAAATTAGTTTTGCATAAATTTTCACTGTATTCATTAAAAAAGTAATTGGCTCTTTTTTAATATAATGATCATTAAATATTTATTTTGAAAAATATGTGCAGTATGTAGTCTTATATTAACCCTTTCAGGGTTTCGGCCGTACTAGTACAGCTTACACACCAGGGTTTTTGACGTACTAGTACGCTTAAATTCCAGCGCCCTCAAATCTAGTGAGAGAAAGCTGGTAGGCCTACATATGAAAGAATGGATCTATGTGGTCAGTGTGCATGGTATAAAAAAAAATCCTGCAGCACACAGTGCGTAATGAGAAAAAAAAAAGTGTTTTTGGATTAAAACAGCAACTTTGCACTGTATTTTGGTATGGTATTTATTGTTGTATTTAAGTTTTCCTGGTCTCATTTTATAGAATGGAGGACATATTACAGAAATTGAGATGATTTTGACTGATTTTACAAAGAAAACTACCTTGAAATTGCGCTCAAAGTAGCAGAAATGTTCAATTTTTACCAAAGTTCAAAAGTAAACAAACCTGCTATGCATCCAATACACGTCAACTGGTGAGTCTAATATTCTTTCACAAGTGCGCTGATAATATTTATACCATTTCTACACCAATGCAGTAGTCTGCATAACAGTAAATCTTCTATTTTTTGTGAGAATAAAAATTCAAAGTGGAAAGCAAAAGAATGTAAGAGGGGTCTGGGGACGTGACTAATGAACAGAGGAAATGTTATTTTAGTGCCAGGAATGTCTTTCTTGTTTATTCTGGACCCTATTCGGAAATTGGCATCTTTTGAAATTTGTGTGAAATTGGCAAAATTGCTAAATTCTGACCACTGTATTGGATAGTTGAAATTGGTAAATGGATGGTTTCTTGTACTCATTCAATAGAAAAAAATGGAGTGCTAGCGAAATAGTTATGATTTTTGTCGATAAGTACACTGGAATTGACTGAAAATAGGGCTCAAAGTGGGCAAAATCGCCGATGCGTAAACATCGTAAAGACCGCTGATTTTGCGAGAGCATAATTCCGTAATTTTTCCATCATATTTCATACTTTTGGTGTCATTATGATTGGGAAAAGATTCTCTATCTTTTCATAAGATTTTTTTTTTTTTTTTTTTTTTTTTTTTTTTTTTTTTTTTGAAATTTGGCCGACCCTGTGAACAAGTCTCTGAGAGGGCCTGTCGACCCTGAAAGGGTTAAAAAGGAAATTTTAACAAATGCTCAAATGCATGTGCTGGAAACACACTTGTTACATATTGCCACATGCTTATTTTATTCTCATTCAATAGATGAGATATACAACACATTTTGTACTAATAGTTTGGATAAACCCTTTGAAGTAAACCCTTTAGAAGTGCAGGACAAAATCTGCTAGGTTGGACTAAAGTTTGTTGGTTGCAGAATTGTCCGTAATTGTAATGATCATGACAAAACAATTTCATCTTTAACCACAGCAACCACATTTACTGGCCATCCACTCTTTTTTGCTATTCTGTTAACCCTTTCAGGGTTGGCAGGCCCTCTCCTAAACTTGTTCTCAGGGTCGGAAATTTTTTGAAAATAAAAAATTATTTTGTCTTATGAAATGATAGAGAATCTTTTCCTGATCATAACGACACCAAAAGTATGAAATTTGATGGAAAACTTACAGAATTATGCTCTTGCGAAGTTAGCAGTCTCGACGATGTTTATGCATCGGCGATTTCACCCACTTTGAGTCCTACTCTCGGCCAATTCCAATGTACCAGGTGACAAAAATTATAACTATTCCACTAGAACTCCATTTTTTTCTATCGAATGAGTACAAGAAACCACCCATTTACCGATTTCAACTATCTAATACAGTGGTCAGAATTTAGCAATTTTGCCACTTTCACACAAATTTCAAAAGATGCCAATTTTCAAATAGGGTCCAGAATAAACAGGTCAGACATTCCGGGCACTAAAATGACATTTTTCTCTGTTCGTTAGTCAGGTCCCCAGGCCTCTCTTACATTTCTTTTTCTTTCCACTTTGAATTTTTATTCTCGCAAAAAAAATAGAAGACATACTGTTATGCAGACTACTGTTTTAGTGTAGAAATGGTATAAATAATATCAGCGCACTTGAGAGAATATTAGACTCACCAGTTGACGTGTATTGGACGCTTGGCATGATTTGTTTACTTTTGAACTTTGGCAAAAATCAAACATTTCTGCTAATTTGAGCTCAATTTCAAGGTACTTTTCATTGTGAAACCAATCAAAATCATCTCAGTTTCTGTAATATGTCTTCCATTCTATAAAATGAGACCAGGAAAACTAGAATACAACCATAAATAGCAAACGAAAATACACTGCAAAGTTCCTGTTTTAAAGCAAAACACGATTGGAGTTTTTTTTTTTTTTTCTCATTTTGCATTGTGTGCTGCAGGATTTTTTTTATACTGTGCACACTGACCACATAGACCCATTCTTTCATATGTAGGCCTATCAGCTTTCTCTCGCTAAATTTGAAGGCGCTAGAATTTATGCGTACTAATATGGCACCAACCCTGGCGTGCAAGTTGTACCAGTATGGCAACAACCCTGAAAGGGCTAAATTGAGGGTTTATCTATTTATGTCATTCTCTACATTTGGTTGATGGTGGTTATGCCTTTAATATGACTAACAATTAAACTTTGGGTATTTCCTGTTGCACAGGCTTTGCAGTACTCAAAATTTCTGTGGCATTATGTGATTACTGTCTCCATTATTGTATTTAAATGAATTATTCTGATAAAGAATTTGTGATAGTATCTTAAAACAGTTTGCATCACAAAGACAATGCTTGAAGCTGTTCTCTGAAATAAAATCATTCTTGGGATTTCTGTTTTGAAGCATTATAATAAAAGCAGAGAAACTTAAGATAATTTCGATTTCCTTGAATATTACATTTATATTTTGGTTAACAGTGGCAGTTGGCCGTATAATGCACATAATCATGGAACACAGCCATCGTAAAGGCCATGGCATGCAACGGCCAAGGGGACCAAGACCTAATCCTGCTCCTGGGCTAATGGGACCCAGGCCTGGCAGTGGTCCTCGGGGGCCTCGACCACTTGTTTTTCGACCACCAAGACCTGACATGTCAGCGCCACCACCTCAGACACAGCCGCCTCCTCCACTGACTAATGTTAGTTATAGTTGTTAATTTAGATTTTTGTTGTGATGGCAAATGTTTGAAGGTCTTCATTGCACAGTCTTAGATCAGTTATAAATGTTTTACAATGTAAAAAAAAAAGTATATACAGTTTTTTTTTTTTTTTTTTTTTTTTTTTTTTTAAACAAGTCAGCCATCTCCCACCGAGGCAGGCTGACCCAAAGAGAAAGAAAATCCCCAAAAAGAAAATACTTTTATCATCATTCAACACCTTCACCTCACTCACACACAATCACTATTTTTGCAGAGGTGCCCAAAATACAACAGTTCAGAAGTATATACGTATAAAAATACACATTATATCTCTCCAAACTGCCAATATCCCAAACCCCTCCTTTAGAATGCAGGCATTGTACTTCCCATTTCCAGGACACAAGTCCGGTTATATAAAATAACCGGTTTCCCCTGAATCCCTTCACTAAATATTACCCTGCTCACACTCCAACAGATCGTCAGGTCCCAAATACCATTTGTCTCCATTCATCCTATCTAACACGCTCGCGCACGCTTGCTGGAAGTCCAAACCCCTCGCCCACAACACCACCTTTACCCCTCCCTCCAATCTTTTCGAGGACGGCCCCTACCCCGCCTTCCTTCCCCTACAGATTTATACGCTCTCCATGTCATTATACTTTGATCCATTCTCTAAATGACCAAACCACCTCAACAACCCCTCTTCAGCCCTCTGACTAATACTTTTATTAACTCCACACCTTCTCCTAATTTCCACACTCCGAATTTTCTGCATAATATTTACACCACACGTTGCCCTTAGACAGGACATCTCCACTGCCTCCAACCGCCTCCTCACTGTGGCATTTACAACCCAAGCTCCACACCCATATCAGAGTGTTGGTACTACTATACTTTCATACATTCCCTTCTTTGCCTCCATAGATAACATTTTTTGCCTCCACATATACCTCAATGCACCACTCACCTTTTTTCCTTCATCAATTCTTTGATTAACCTCATCCTTTGTAAATCCATCTGCTGACACGTCAACTCCCAGATATCTGAAAACATTCACTTCTTCCATACTACTCCTCCCCAATTTGATATCCAATTTTTCTGTATCTAAATCATTTGATACTCTCATCACCTTACTCTTTTCTATGTTCACTTTCAACTTTCTACCTTTACACACATTCCCAAATTCGTCCACTAACCTTTGCAATTTTTCTTTAGAATCTCCCATAAGCACAGTATCATCAGCAAAAAGTAACTGTGTCACTTCCCATTTTGTATTTAATTCCCCATAATTTAATCCCACCCCTCTCCCGAACACCCTAGCATTTACTTCTTTTACAACCCCATCTTTAAATATATTAAACAACCATGGTGACATTACACATCCCTGTCTAAGACCTACTTTTACTGGGAAGTAGTCTCCCTCTCTTCTACACACCCTAACCTGAGCCTCACTATCCTCATAAAAACTCTTTACAGCATTTAGTAACTTACCACCTAGTCCATATACTTGCAACATCTGCCACATTGCTCCCCTATCCACTCTATTATATGCCTTTTCTAAATCCATAAATGCAATAAAAGCTTCCCTACCTTTATCTAGATATTGTTCACATATATGCTTCAATGTAAACACCTGATCTACACATCCCCTACCCACTCTGAAACCTCCTTGCTCATCCGCAATCCTACATTCTGTCTTACCTCTAATTCTTTCAATAATAACCCTACCATACACTTTTCCTGGTATGCTCAGTAAACTAATTCCTCTTTTTTTTACAATCTCTTTTGTCCCCCTTCCCTTTATATAAAGGGACTATACATGCTTTCCGCCAATCCCTAGGTACCTTCCCCTCTTTCATACATTTATTAAACAAAAATACCAACCACTGTTGGATATATTAAGGTGAAGTTTCCTTGCTTGGGTCACCTTTTACTTTTATGGAAGACAGGTGATTAAGTAAGAAAAGAAAATCAGTACAGTAAAACTTCTCATTGGAAATATAAACACATAAGCGGTACAATGTGATCCTTTATTGACAATGTTTTGCCCACACAGTGGGCTTTACCAAGCCACAAACAGATCTATCTGGGTGGAAGGTATGTGAGTATTTACAGGATGAAGTCAGGTTGAGAATGCTGGGTCAGGTGGAGAATGCTGTATGTGACAATCTACTGAGTAGGGTCAGAGAGTCTAATACCTTGGGTAGCTTTGAAGAGAGATTAGATAAGTATATGAGTAGACTTCCTGCAGTGTTCCTCCATTCTTATGTTATGTGGGATAGTGATGAAGAGGTTTCTTGGCAAGGGGTTCATCTGTGTTATAAAAGCTGTTGTTCTGGTTGAAGTTTTTGGATATACAGATAAGTAAAGATTCCAGGATTCTTTGGTATTGAGTGTTGTCTTCTCTGGCAATAAGTCTTGCGTTTCTGTAGTTGATTAAATGGTTGTGTGAATTTCGGTGTTGAACACAGGCATTCCTTGAATCATCAGATCTGCTTGCATACTGGTGTTCTGAAATACTTGTTTGGAGGTCTCTGGATGTTTTGCCCATGTATAATTTGCTGCAGTCATTACAAGGGATTAAATATACCCCTGCAGAGGATTGAAGCTTGTCCTGTCTATTACTGGTAATGTCCTTGATGGTGGTGGATGTGGAGGTAGATACTTGGAATGAGGTATTGGAAAAGATGTTGGAAACATGCTTAGCAATGGAGTTGCCCAGCAACTCCATTAAGAACATAAGAAAGAAGGAACACTGCAACAGGCCTACTGGTCTATGCGAGGCAGGTCCAGTTCTCCCACCAGCTTAAGCCAATGCCTTGACCTAGTGAGGTCAGACACATCACTTAAGGGAGGAGCACTGCATCTGACCTAGTAGGAGAAGCTGGTCAGGTCCAACTCTCACCCACCCACACCCTCTCATGTATTTATCCAACCTATTTTTAAAATTACACAACGTCTTAGCATCTGTGACGGTACTCGGGAGTTTGTTCCACTCATCCACAGCTCTGTTACCAAACCAACGGTTTCCTATTGCCAAGCAGTGTCTTGGCAGTGTCTTTTCTGGGTGTGTTTAAGATGTTTAATGCCCGCCATCTGCAGTCTCTAATGAAGTGATGAGGATAGTGAAGTTTGGAAAATACTTGTTCAATTAAAGAGCATTCTTCCTCAAGGAATTTATTGCTGCAGATTCTGAGTGCACTCAGGAAAAAGCATATAATTATACCACGTTTAGTTTTGGTGTCGTGGTGAGAGTAGTAGTGAAGAAGATCGTGTTGGTTGGTAGGTTATCGATAGACTTTAAAACGAAGTTAATGGTCAGTTTTGCAGAGAACATCAAGGAAAGGAAGAGTGTTGTCAACTTCTTCTTTTCCAATACCTCATTCCAAGTATCTACCTCCACATCCACCACCATCAAGGACATTACCAGTAATAGACAGGACAAGCTTCAATCCTCAGCAGGGGTATACATAATCCCTTGTAATGACTGCAGCAAATTATATGTGGGCAAAACATCCAGAGACCTCCAAACGTGTATTTCAGAACACCAATACGCAGGCAGATCTGACGATTCGAGGAATGCCTGTGTTCAACACCGAAATTCACACAACCATTTAATCAGCTGCAGAAATGCAAGACTTATCGCCAGGGAAGACAACACTCAATACCGAAGAATCCTGGAATCATCACTTATCTGTACAGTGGTACCCCAAGTTTCGGCCATAATTCGTTCCAGAAGGTTGTTCGAGTGTCATTACTGAACGAATTTGTTCCCATAAGGAATAATGTAAATTAGATTAGTCCATTTCAGACCCCCAAAAATACACTTACAAAAGCACTTTCAATAATACACTTACATAATTGTTCAAGTTGGGAGCTTTATGAAACTCAGGGTTCCACTGTATATCCAACAACTTCAACTAGAACAACGGCTTCTATAACATAGCTGAACCCCTTGCCAAGAAACTTCTTCATCGCTATTCCATATGACATAAGAATGGAGGAACACTGCAGAAGGTCTACTCATATACATGTACATATCCAATCTCTCTTCAAAGCTACCCAAGGTATTAGACTCTATGACCCTACTCAGTAGATTGTCACATGCAGCATTCTCCACTTGACCTAGCATTCTCAACCTGACTTCATCCTATAAATACTCACATACCTTCCACCCAGGTAGATCTGTTTGTGACTTGATTAAGCCCACTGTGTGGGCAAAACATTGTCAGTAAAGGATCACATTGTACTGCTTATGTGTTTATATTTCCATTGTGTCAGTATTTTATACCATTTATTTCCAAAACCTCTCATTAATACATAATTAAGAGGGGGGTGCATGATAATGCAGATTGTCCATAACTCCCAAATTATGAAATTAATATTTCATGATTGTCCGGTTGTTTTCTAAAGTAGTGGAATTGATCCACTGATACAGAAGACATATGCATATTGTAACCTGTAGCACTAGAGGTTACAATACACATTATAGTTCAGTGGACCCTTGGTTATCGGCTGTAATCTGTTCCAGGTCGGGCTAAATCCGAAATGGCTGAAAACCAAAATAATATTTCCTATAAGAATTAATGTAAATACAATTAATTTGTAAGTAGTATTGGTATCAATTACCAGTGTCAGTAGTATGTGACTCATACCAACCGTTACTGATTCACCATCTCATTGCTGACCGTTACCGAGTCATTCTGCATACCATAGCATGATGTTTGAGTGCCGTTGCCCTCTGGGCACGATATAGCAGTTCAGAGCAGGGTATCAGAGACGACGGGTCAGGCTTGGCATTCCTTCTTTAGTACTCATAATTATAAGTTAACAGTCGTCCAAAGTGTGTGATTTTACCCAGTTCCACCATTCGAACCCCACACGACAAATTGGTGGCAGCAGTGATACTTGAGGATTTCTCAATACTTGTTGTGTACGTAGGGCATAATGACATTCAAGTTGATCATCTGACTTAGTATTAGTGGTAGAGGGTATAGAGT